TTAACCTCTTATAATTGTAGTTTTGTTGGGCATTTAAGTATTAAAATTAACGCAAAACTCAAAATATGATTCTTAATTTCTCGCTTGAAGGGTTCAATTAATGTCTCCACTTTTTAACACTGGAGTTGGCAGTCCAGCTCTAATGAACTAAGCAATTAGACTGCTAACTCTATTTTAACTGTGCTAGTGCTTACGATTTACATAATATATTAGTGAAATTATGACTTTTTCATTAAAATAATAGCAATGCTTACATTACAAAACATTACTTACATTCCCTTTAATCGCTTTGGCAAGTTCTGGAGCTAGGAGTGGTTCATGACAATATTCGAATGCGGATTCGAACCCACGACCTTTTCGACACGGTCCGCATCCTGCCATTAGGCTACTATCGCTATTATATCGTCTTTTCATAATGAATACTTTGTAAGTTGTTATTAAAGTCTATTGCGTAATTTTTTTATTGAAAAAAAATTTAATTTACAATGAAACGAATCCCACATACGACCAATTTTGACACACGCTTATATTTGTTAGATAATAATCTGTACATATGTATGTATGAGTATAATGGAATTTTATAATTTAATTTTCCCCTACTTTCGGACGTCAGAGTAATTTGAAATTTTATAGATATATGAATCGCTGACGATACAATAGTTGCATAACTTTGAATCAGTCTAGACGAAAGAGTCTTCTTAATAGGATCATTACTGATCATGATTAATGCGTGTTGTTTTTTTTTATTCAATGTTTATATTATTATATTAATGCTAGTCCAGAAGTCGTTTCAGTATGTACTGCACCCATATTTACGGAGAGAATTGAGATATTAATATTTGGTCTGATCTACGCAAAATGATATTACAGTATGTTAAAGTTTGGCAGTGGTATGCTAAGTTTAATTATTTATTAATTAATTTTTATATATAATAAGGGTGACAAACGAGCACACAGTCCACCAGATGGTAAGTGAATGCTGCGGATCATAGACATCTTCGATTAAGAATAAATGCTTTGTCACCCGTGTGAACTAAGATGGAATTCATCGTTTCCAGTAAAAGGGGTCTCCGGTTCTCTACACTCACCATACGAAACACAGCAGCATTAAGCTACTATTTCACGCTGGTATTCTGTGAGAGCGTGGTTCTTCCCCGGTCGAGCCGACCCATTCGTGCTACAACTATACTACTAATATAACTGCAGCATGGCTCTACCACGTTTAAACTATTTTCAGCAGTGGACTGCGGACTAATAGGCTGTAACTGTAATGGTACTTTCAGTAGTATCCTAAAATTTTGTGTGAAGTTACAGCCTTTATACGTCCCACTACTGAGCACAGCCCTCCTCTTATTTCTGTTCGAGGAAAGTGCACCGCGCTGCCTCTGCCTATCACTTGGTGAATTAGGATTTAAATCGCAATTAACAATTTCACTGGTGCCAGCGGGAATCGAACCCGGTTTACTAGGGTTTTACAGCAAGCGCTTAGCCCACAAGTTACTACGACTTACGAAACTTTCCATTTTTAACTTAGTGATTATTTCAATTTTAAATTAATTAGATTTTTAATATTTAAAATATACAAAATAAATAAGATGATTATTTAACTATTAAAACTATTACGCCATTACACTTTCATTCAAATGTTAAAAAGTATTTCAATTATTGATAGTGTGACTAATTATAATAGTACGAATTATTATAATAGCATTTTGACGGCCTCCTTGGTCTAGTGATCCCGGATTTGAATCCAGTCTCGGGTTAGTTATTGTTTTATTAGTTATATCGTTTTTCTGTAAAGAAATTCTCAGGAAATTATCGGAATCAGGAAGTTAGCGGGGTTTACCCCACGTCTCCGAAAAGCATGTAAATCTGTTGGTCCTGCGCCTTATATCTCCCCGGTCAATTTGGAACTATGAGAGTGCACATGCATGAATGTGTGCGCAAGCACCTGTGCTTGCGCACACATTCATGCACTATAATCCTGTCCTGCGCAGACGGCTAGTCTTCGTCGAGACGGGCTGCCGTGATCAAATTTCGGCCTGAAGGATATTATTATTATTATTACAATAGTATAAGGATAGATATCTATTTTTTTGATGCGAACACCTGCGTTACGCGCAGCACAGCAGGTACTCTGATGACATGGATGTACAGCCTTCAGACGGCAATTCAATATATTAAAATGACTCACCATTTTTATTCATCACTAAATATACACATTATGAGAAGTAACGTAAACTGAACGTACATTTTAGATTGTAATTTTAATTAATTGTGTTGCAAAGAGATGTAGTACCTCTTTGCATTTCCTATGACATTTAACGACGCGAGAAGCTCAGAGGAAATGTTCGAATTAGTTCCAGCTACCGAATTTCACCATTGCACATCGCGACAAAATTCGCGATACCAACCACACCCTCGACAAACATCCACCTCATCTCCATTACAATCAAAATGCAGATGTTTCCCGTGAGACTACTCTATATAAGCAAACAAGCCGAACTATACTACTAATAGCATGGCTCTACCACGTATAAAATGACATGACTTAGGGAAAATAAATTATAAAAAAGGGAAAAGAGTAGCCTCTTTTCTAAAAACATTTTAAGAAAAGAGGCTACTCTTTTTTAAAAGGCCAGCAACGCACTCGCAGTGTCTTTAGTGTTGCAGTTGTTCGTAGGCGGCGGTAGTCACTAACCATCAAGTGAGCCGCATGCTCGTGTGCCACGTCTTCTATAAAAATACTCAACTATAAAAGTGGTCAAAATAGATTTCTTCGACTTTCCACTACAAAGTTGTGTCTGTAAAACGTATTTTGCCCTAAATTTAAACTGTCATTAAAAGTTAAGTCTGAATACGAAATAACAGAACATGTACGAACATAGAATTGTTTTCCTGGGTGCTACCTTTTGCAAATTTTGGCAGGTTGTACTGATGAAAGTGGTACATAGAACAAAAATGAAATCCACGCGAGCAAGTTAGAGGAAAAATGTATTACTTGTAGTTACGTTCTTGAAAACTGCCCATCCTTGAAAACACTTAAATCAAGAAGGGTATGCAGCGCATAAAAAGGAGTTTATTTAATGTAGTAGAATCAATCTGCAGCTATATTTTAGATGCTTGCACGAATGTTTCGGCCCACCTGGAGAAAGATCATGCTCTTACATTCTGTAAGATGAAAGATCACGCTCTTTCAGAATGTAACTATCTCCGATCCGTAATATAGTAGCTTAAAACTATTATGTTTCTTAGGGCGAGTGTAGAAAACTGTAAACTTTTCTTACTATATACAGCATCCATTTCCCATCAGGTGGATTTTGTGCTCGCTGTCACACGTATTCTATAAAAAATAAGATCTGAAAAAGTACACGGACATTAAATAAAACAAAAAAGTTATAATAAAGACATTTATTTCTTTTATAAAAAATGCGTATTTCAGTTGGTACAAAGATTATTAAAACGTTGACATTCATCCGAAAGCTGACAGAGAGACTTACACAAGGCTTATTCGCTTTTTTACGTCTATGAAGCTTTATGAAATAGACGATAAATAGGCTACAAAAACAAAGCTCATTACATATAAATATATCAAATAAGTTGTCAGTCCTTATAAAAAACAAAACGACTTTTTATCATAATCTGATTTAACTAAATTTTATAACAATTCAGAAGAAACATATATCTTTATAATCACCTCAAGAAGTACATTTTTTGATAACAAAATATTAAAGAAATCAATGGCGTAATTTTGTAAGTATAATAAAAACAAAAATCATCAGTTATCAATATATAAGAAATTAATAAACAAGAGAAATATACTTTCAGTGTACCACAAATTAAAACTACAATTATAAAAATGAAATGTTTTGTAACTGTGATATTATGTACGTAAGTACGTATTATATATTTATAAAGTAAATAAGACTGAAACCCGTTATGCTTATAGTAAAGATTACAAACATCAAATAACATTGTATATTACTAAAATATGACTAAAGTGTGATTACGAACAAATAGTCTCTAGGCTGCAATTGAAACTGGGTTTAATAACTACAGGCGACACCCAATAATAAGAGATCCATATTCCAGTTACTAAAATTGTATAAGTAATTATCGATAGTTAGAAACGAATAGGTTTAAACTTAAATGTAAATTATTTACAAAACTATAAAATATAAATATTGTGTATTTACAGGGTTAACTCTAAAAAAAGTGTGTTTTATTTTTCATATTGTGTGTAATCTAATTAACATTTCCTCATAATTAAAAGTGCCTAGTTTTAAGCGCTCGTACGTACGCTTTTGCAAATAACTTAATAATATATATTTTAATGTGATGATATCAAACACAAAGCATTTTTAGAATAGTGATGGTATTCGCAATTACATTAATATTTATTGGAAAGACATATTACATATTTAGTGATACATGTAATGATTTCAATGAGTATTTAAATCATTAGACGATTTGTGGTATAAAAAAACGCTAAAAATACTAAAAGATGGGATATGGTGATTTTGATATATTCACTATAAAAGTATTAGTGAATAAAAAGAGGAACAGTGTGATATAGTGTGAATTTGTGACCTTACTATCGCTATTACTATCAAATAATCTAGACGTTTATAATAATATATACATTTACTTATACTAAAATACCCTCATAAGAAATAGTGAAATATATTAGAAGGCACGTTTTGTACCTAATAAAGCAGGGAAAACTGTAAAACAATAACAGATCATGTAATTTAAGGGAAAACATACATATATGATAAACGGTCTATCCCACTTTAGGTTAACTTATGAGAAAGTATAGCTGATTATAGACTTAATTGTAAAATGACAATCTTTTGGCAGTTTAGAATACTGATCGCGCTTGTCACAATCACACAAGCTTTACTCGTTATCCAATAACATCTCTCATGTAATATATTCTTACGACTAAATGGTTTCAAAATAATAAATATTTAAGTAAACCTCTCACCTCAAATTCAAGCTTAAACGGCTGAATTTTTACCAATAATAGTTCCTCCACTGGTGGCGTATACGCGGCGACCATCAAATTCTACAGAAGAATTTCGCTTTATTGTGTCATCACCCGTATCCTTCAGAGGCTCCTTCTCGTCTCTGTGGAGCATTTTTTTATTTAATTTATCACATTAGATCAGTTAAATAAAGTTAAAATAATATTTTTGCAAATACAACTCGTGCAAAAAATAAACAATATCTTTTTATTGCAAACAATATTTGAAGATTTTATTAAAACTTAAAATTTTAATCATAAAAAAGAAGTAAATGGTTTTTTCGTTATTAATATACATATCACTAAAACTATCACTCAACTATTACTTAAAATTACCGAAACCATTTTTTATATTTAAATAAAGCTATATGAAGCGAAAGATCAACTTGGTAATCAGGGTATGCTTGATCTCACTAACCACATTCTTTTACGTCAATATAATCAATATAGTTCAGCGCATCACGCTCATGCACGTATCTACACATATTGTTTGTGTACTTTCATTATCAATAACAGTATTTTTAATGGAGATGTACTCGTTTATTACTGTCACAACTCATTTTCACGTAGTTATGGCGTCTTTAAAAAGTCTAGCAGTGAGTTTAACAATATATTGTGATCCCCTTCATACAAAATTTAAAAAGTATGTAAATATTAGGTACCACTTCAACAATGTTTGAATATAACGTTCACTTTTTGGAATTCTTCTAATACAGATTCTCAACCGTGAAAAAATTACAATTTATATATGAGTACTTCTCGTATACTCGTAAAATAAAAAAGGAATTAGGTAGGCTGGATAAAAATTATAATAATACCTATCTTCACATTTTTTATCCGTACTAAAATTGCCAAGTCGACCTGACGATAATAATACATAGTAACAAAGTATTCAACTTTTTATTTCACACGTTTGAAAGCAAAATTTTACAATGCAGTGAACTAGAAGCAGTTAAATGCGAATAATAACTAAAAGCGCAACCAATTCTTAACTTTAAATGGGAATTAAACGTATCTTACACTGGTGTGGTCGGGATATAACTATAAGTTACCAGATCGACGCCGCGTGGAGAAAGAAATAAAACTTTTATTAGTATGCTAGTGCAAAAATGCCATGTGATATTTTCAACATCAACCAAACTATTTATATTACTTAACTGTTATGTTAATATAATAAATACAAAATATATTATATCAGTAATCAGAAAATAAAAAAATACTTTACATAATATGAAATAGGAGAAATGTTTTATTGCCGTAAGAGATGTTCCAGGCAATTTACCGTTTCACAACCGAAATTCTCGCAGATTTTTCAATTTTCCTTTGATTTAAATGTTCATTTTCCAGGCATGTAACTCAAAACTACACAATCAAAGTAGCTGTCATACGATACCAAATTCAAATCGGCAATATTTACAAAAGGCGGCGATGCGAAGCTTATTCTTTAATTCAATATTTACAAAATGGTCGGCCTCAGCGAAAAGTCGTCTTGAAAACTACAGAAATAAGTCACACTTTTAATCTAATACGGGAAGCTACAAGGACATTGAAGTGTTTAAAATAATATATTTTGATTAAAATTATTTAAATTTAATCCATAGATGTTTTTTTAATTTTTTTAAATCATTGTAAATGTAATTTGATAAACCAAGTCTGTCTAAATGATATTTTAAAATGAAATATTTCAGTGTTCGCATCTTGACGAATTCGTTGCTATGCCAAGAAGTGAAAACCTATCAGTTCAAATAAATATAATTATAAAAACTTTCATCAGGCTTGATTTTTTAAAACAGCTCTTTAAAGCCATAGTTAAGCTTATCGATATCGACTTTCCTACAGAGGCCGTACCATATCTGCACAAACAAAGCATGCAGGCAATTTTTCATGTAGTGCCTTACGTAGGAGTTGGCACGAGCTTGACGGGCGGCGGCAGGGGCGCGGGGGAGGGCGGCGCGCGCGGCTTCGTGCTGCAATAAGGGAGCGGGAAGCGCCAACCGTACAGACTAGCGGGCAGAAACATCTCTCATCGACACTAACACTGATAGTACGGGAATAAAGGGCAAGGAACGAGGAGTATTGACGGTGAAAACAAGGTATAACGTTCTTCAAATTTAGAGAATGTCGATGATATTTAAATTGCTATATAAATTGAAATTTAAAAATGAATTGATATAAGTAAATACTTAAAAAAATTGTAGGTAAAAAGAGTTGTTTCAAAGCTCACCTTCCTAATTTAGCTTCGTCTTCTTTGTGCTTTTTAGCTCGTTTTCCACAAAGCGTGGCAACGACTCCCTGTCGTCTAAAGCAGAATAGCAAGAGATCCACAATGATGAGGCACATAAATACGCCAGCTAGTGCCACTCCTACGATTGTGCCACTCGACATAAGTTGAGGCGGGGCAAATCCAGAACGTTCCACACCTGTTGATTTAAAATGTGTTTTAGAATGCAATTTTTAAAACTATAAGCAAACAAGAGCAAGAGCAGTAGACAATATCGGTTTTGCTTCATGACAATGAAATTTAGTACAGCAGGCTAAAGGTGTTTGTATTCACTGTTTACTGCTCTTCAACTTGTTAGTTTAATGCGTCGTCAAAATGAATGTTAGAATTCGTGATTGATTGCAGTAAATACCAGTTGACGCCAGTGCGAAGGTAATATGAGTAATATTTTAAAAGAAAGTCTGCAGATTCCTACTAAGCAATACACATATCATTCATAACAGTAACTATGGTGAACAGAGAGTGCTTTCAACTCTATAAAACGTGCACCCAATCACCAGTTAAGAATGAAAATGATAATCCAAGTAAAGAGGAGTACAAGAATTTGCTTTAGAACCTAGAAAGCTCTCCGTCGTCGTGAAATGGGGTTTGAATGAAATTGAAATAATGATAAATGGTGATAGCGGAGGTCTATGACTCTGATGCATAGTTTTAGAATTAAGAATAACGATAGGAAAGAAAAGTTGTCAAGATGCGAACATTCCAAATAATTTGCCTAATGCAAAATAAATATTTCAAACCCCATGACAAAATTATTTCAATTTAAAAATAAGCGTTTTCGGACTTACTTACTACTATATTGTTGTTAAAACGACATAATATGTATTAAAAAATCGATAAATAATTGGCTCGTGGAAACCATCACCTTAGTTGTTATGTTCCTAATATATAAATGTTAACGATCTTCTTCATTTGTGGTTCGGATTATGTATTAAATGAAACAATTAATTTTAATGAATATCACAAAATGTATAATGTAAATGTATAACATAATATGTATTCTTTTGAATAACTTTTTTGTTGAAACAGTAATCCAAACCACAAAAGTTCTTCTACAAACCGAAACGAAATGTTTATTGAAACAACCAAAATATGCTAAATCAATTATTTCACCAATAATACGCTAGACTTTTAATAAATCGAAAATAATTTTGATTATACTGGATGATTTTTTTCACTATCTGGAAAAAAATAAAGTATGAATGAACGGAATAGAAGCCTATGGCACTGATATTTAACACATATTATGAAATTGATGTACAAATAAATACTACTAATTGGATGCGTATTATTTTAATTTCGATGGTTTTTAATTGATTTATTTATTAAGTTCAAAATATTTGTATTTATTTTTTACTACCGAACGTTTATTTTAAAATAGTAATATTTATTGATAGATCTATTTCATTATATGTTAATGTAAAAGCAAAAAAAAAGTAAAATATTAGTGTCATAAGCTAATATTCCGTTCACCTGTTGCACCCTATTTTTTCCATAGAATAAAAAAAATCATCCAGTATACTGATTTGGCAGTTTCGCTCTTTAAAATATATCCATTCATACCTAACTAAAAGATGCTCTTGAACTACATGTACTAAGGAACAAAATAATGAAGTAAAACATAAGTAAACACCAACATATTATGTGATGTTATCTAGAATAACAATTCTGAACACTGATAGGTAAATGTTTAAGGATTCGAATAAATGATGCATTTTGCAATGCTATATTGACCATGCTGATAATGGTACTGATGTTATTTCGTTTTGTGAAATGAAAGGGAATACATAATCCAGCAAGAAGGTCATGCAGAATAGTAATTAGTTCATTCCAAAGGATATTAAAGTAGCAGGTTTATTTCTACTAACATATTAATATAAAATATATTTACCTAATGTCAGTCAGGGCGACACAAACACACTTTTCAAATCATAAGGGACTTTGGATTGGTCTCTTGACAAGCATCTTGACAGCTTTCTTTTATTTTATTGATATATTATATTTTATATGGTGTAATAGTGGAATAATTTACACTAATTAAGGGTAGGTGTGTAGGGTAATAAATAAGGTTAAAATGAATGAAGTTACGTTTTTAAATTTATTAAAGCAACGGTAATGTTTTCTTAGTAATTTCATTCATTTTATTAGGAGATATCTCACAAAGAACTATGTTTGTTTTAGAAACATTTATTTTTTCACATTGGTCATTTCTCTGATCTATTCACAATCCGATAACTTCTGTTGAGCTCTTCCAACTATACATGCTTAAAGATTTTAGGGCCTGTTAGGTTAAAATCTGACTTTAGGACGATTTCCTTCACAATAAGCTACTAACATTTAATCTAAGTCTTATTAAAACTCATAAAATAGTCGTCAAAAATTCGTACACAAGTTTCTACCTACTTGTAAGTTACAGTATCGTTTTATGTTTAACGCTACTCGCGGTAAAACATTTTGGCAGTGTATTTTTACTGAATTTATCTACTTGATACTTACAATTTTAACATATCTATACAGAGTTAAGGGATAAATATGAATTTAGTAAATTCCCTTTCATGATTTATTTTTATTTCATTATATCGATAATACTGTGAAACATTTTATGGTTCAAACCACCATTAATTTTAGAGCATCGAAAGTACCTACCTATAAGGTGAAACATTAATTGATATTTTCTATCAATAACAATTGATAGTCGTACTTATATTTATACATTAACAAATTGATTTATCACACAAATATTCTTAATTAACAGTCATCTTTGGACTTAATTAGTTCATGTTGAATATTGATATCAATAACTATATATTTATGTTGTAAAATACAAAAGCAGAAGCGTAGTTAAGATGTCCATTTTAGAGGGAGCCCATTGGAAAATGCTTGCGCTTCCATTTGGGTTACCTAGAAACATTACGATACGATAAAATTTTATAATATGCAATATAATACAAATTTAGTCTTATAACGATGAAATTAAAATAAACGTAGGAGTAAAATGAAACTTACCACATTTTAGAATAAAATAACGCCAACATAAATAAATAAAATGACTTTAAATATTCACAAGGTGTTCTCAAATGATATTAAAAATATTCTTGAACATGCACAAACGACAGAATTTAATTTAACTCATGAGTAAGGCACACATTAGTTAATAATTTAACTTTATACGTTAAATAATAATGTTAAAGTAAAATAATAAAGCTTGAGAATCGTGATGAAATGTAAAATAATTAGTATTTACAATAACAGTTCGAATGTTGAATTAATTGTTACTAATGAAAGTCGGCAAGATGGCAAATCGAAAATGATTACATTTTTATTTATATAATGGGTATTTAAAACAAATTCTAAGCCAAATATTACAAAAAATAAATAAGAAAAACTTACACTGGACGCTAATGCTTTAATTCATATAACATAAATTGTACTTTAAAATTAAAAAAGCATAGTAAAAAAAGGTTACTATGAAAACTATTAAATTCAAACAGCATTTATGTAGCCACTACAACATTGACAGACAAACAACTCACATAATTAGATTAGAAAATAAAAAAATGAGGTGGGAGATGAACAATAAAGAAACACATGAGGTTGTGACGATCGAGCCGGACTGCGTGTCGGCGGCGACAAGGACGTTGTAGAAGCCAGCCTTGTGGGGTTTGCTGTACTCACCGAGGGCAGTCTGTACATAGAGCTGAGCGGGCAGGGAGTAACCGAGTACGTTGTGAGCTCGTACTTGTATTCTATAGCGAGTATCAGGACGTAATCCTGTAACTTCATAACTGATTGCCTCATATGACCTAAGTTCTTCAACAACACATTGAGAATCTGACGCCACTCTCCACTCGCCACTAACTTTTAACACCTAAAAAGGAAAATGAATTATACTAACTTTTATATTTGATTAAAATATAATTTTGCATCTTCAAAGATTTAATAAATTTGCTAAAATCGTCACGATTATTACGCATTCACGAGTACGAGATGCGTACACCTTAGAAGCTTTGCACACCGTTCAGGATTTGAATAATATGAATAGATATTTATGATTTGCCTTTAGTAGTTTTGAAACTAATAAATTGAGTGATTACATAATGGCATATAAGGTAATAATTATCATGCTCAGAAATGAGATCTTGAGAGAATTTAAAAAAATAAGGAAATTTCTCAACATCCCTCAGAAATAAGAAAACGACTGTAAAACTTACTGGACAATAGCTGACTTCATACATATCAATGGGTTCACCGTTATGAGCCGGTATTTTCCATTGTAATTCATATCTGTCTGCGAATTTACCATGTATCAGTGATTCTGAACTGATGGCCTCTCTCCATTTTGGTTGCTCCGGTGGGGACCTATATTTAACAATTAAGTAATATACTTCATTTCTGGAAACTTTTTAATATTTCATATTAGCTATATTTTGTAATTTCACTCTATATTAGGTGAAATAGGACGGGGAAAATAGTTATTTCGTATTTTGTTTGTATAGATTGAAGAAAAATCTCTTTGGTTGTACTGTTTGTATCTGGCTGGTTTAATATCAATACACATAGGATATTAAGAAAAATAAAAATAAAACACAAAAACACTTTCCCGATATTTTTCAATCGTTTTTTCTGTTTGCCAAAATGAATGAATCTAACGAAGAAATTCGATACATTTTGAAGTTTTATTTCAAAAAAGGAAAAAATGCGACTCAAGCCGCAAAAAAAATTGGTGACGTTTATAGACCTAATGCAGAGTCAGTACCAAGATTAGCACGTAGTGGGATCAAGCGTTTTCAGTCTGGGAATTTTGATGTCAAAGATGCACCCCATTCTGGTCGCTCTCACACGGATAAAGTCGATGCTTCGATCATTTTTGAAAAATTGAGCAAGATCAGCATCAGCAGTTACGAAATAGTCGAGGAATTGAGGATTGACCGCAAAACCGTTTCGACTCATTTAAAAAAAATCTGGCTATAAAAACCTAGATATTTGGGTACCACACGAGATCACTGAAAGAAACCTAATGAATCGAGCACTCATTTGTGATTCTCTATTGAAATGTAATGAAACCAAACCATTTTTGAAGACAGACAGACACCTACGACAAGAACGTGTGAAAAAGATGATAATCAAATGATAGTCAATGGTGGAATTAAAATGGAATGGTTTAATATGAGCTTTTACTGCCGGGCGAAATAATCGATTCGGATGTCTACTGCCAACAAGTAATGAAGCTCAAGCAAGAAACTGAGAAAAAACGGCCAGAAAAGGAATAGTCTTTCATAATGATAACGCCTGACCACACACATCTTTGGCCACTCAGAAAAAATTGAGAGCGCTTGGTTGGGAACAGCTAATCCATCCACCATATAGTCCTAACCTTGTACCCTCAGATTTTCATATGTTTCGCTCTCTTCAAAATTTTTTGAGTAGTGTTAGGTTAGCATCAAGAGAGGGCTGTCAAAACTACTTGTCGCATTTTATTGATCAAAAATTCCAAGATTTCTACAGCAACGGGATTATGTCACTACCCACAAGATGGCAACAAGAACAAAATGGCACATATATATTTTATTAAATGTAATCAACCTTGAAAAAATGTCTTAAGTGTGTGTATAAAATACGAAAAAACTTTTTCCACAAACTTATATAACTAAAATTAATTCAAAGAAGAGAAAATTTACCTTCTGGGCATAATAACTGTTATCGGAGCTCCCCACAATCCTGCACCGACTTGGTTGACAGCTGCGAATCTAAAGTCATATGTATACATAGGCATTAAGTTTTCGACAATATAGGGAGAATTAACAGACCAGGTCCTGTTCATGGCTAAATTCCAATCAAAATTCCCGTTCTCTTTATATTGTGCTGTAAAAGCCAGCGTGGGAGGTCCCATGTCTTCGGCCGGACCAATAATATTAAACGATACTGATGTAGCTGTTATAGTTTCTTGCTTAACCTGAAATTAATTTAATTTAGTGTTATCTAAATTTTTTATTGCACTAAAACTACCAAAAGTTCATAGCAGTAAGTCTTAAGGTTCATCATAAAAAAATAGAGATTCAATACTGTGATTCTTATTAAGTTAATTGTTGTTTTGAAAATCAATCTCTATTCAAATCGATGTAATTGCAAGCGAAAGATGCCCAATCATTTTACGTTAACATTAATTTGAAATTGACTCGAGAGTAATAAAATTCTTTAATGTCATATTGAAATTATTTCATTGGAAAGTTGTAACTATTACATGATGTAGTATTAAAAAATTCAAAGGATCGATCTTTTTATTAATAACCTCATAAAACAGTCGTTTATATACTAGTTTTGCTTCACATAATGATTTAATAATTTTTAATTTATTTACACTAAAAAAGGTTTCAAGCGATGATGCCGACTTTACCACGTTTTATATACTCGTACCACGTTATGTATCTAGGGTTAACTCGCTTTTGTGAATTTCTGTTTGGGTTGAATTTAATAATCGATTTAAATTAATTTCTCGATGCAGCTAGAGACTTGCAATTTAGAACATAGCTAAGAATCGTATGATATGTCCGATATAAGAATCGTATGGTATGTAAGAATATGAGTGATACATGATATGATGTAGTATATTTAAAAAAAATGCTTGTTAATACAACAAAGATTAAATACAGCTCTCACTTGTAAAACTGGGCCTGGCGGGAAAGCTTCTCTTAATTGTATAGTGTGTTCTGCTTCACCAAGGGTATTGGTAGCAATACATTTGTAAATTCCATACAAACTACGATCAACCGGAATGACCGTTACGTAACTGATCGGCCCGGAGCCATAGATCTTCACATGTGGAGACTCAGTTAAATCATATTCATGGAACCTTCGAAAAAATAATTAAATAAGTTACCACATTTTGTTCAAATTAAAACTTAAGCCTAATATATGATATACTGACTTCCATTTGATAGTTGCATTGGGAATACTCTCAGCTATGCAGCTTATATTGACTGGTTGGCCGTTCCAACTCCAGATCGGTACATTTGACATATGCTCAAAGGTTGGCTTGAATTGTACCGTCAAATGACCATTTTTTCTTGCTTGTCCACCTTAAAATGAAGTGTTATTCAAATTAAGTTACAGAGTAAAGAGAACTTACAAATAGATATATAGAAAGTTTTATTAAAAATACCTTCATTTTCAGCAAAACATTCATAAAGACCGTCGTCAGTTCTATTTAATCTGGATATTGTAATAACTGCGGTAGATTGCATCTGATCACCAGTTTGACGACTGCTAGTCTCGACTATTATACTGAAACAAAATTTAAATACTATTTACAAAGTAAAACAAGTTCAAGTTCTCAAAATAATTAACTGAGAGAACGCAGGAAGATTTCTTTGAGCGGCGATGTACAGATGAATCCGAAATTAATAAAATTATATTAGTGATATTTAAGGGAAATGAACAAAGGCCTGGGAAAAGTTATAATAAATATATGATCACTTGAGAAAAGCTTATTTTCAGCAGTGGATCTGGTGGTGAGAGCGAAATGTAATAAAAAGTATAGTGATATCTGTAATATAGTGCGACACCTAAAATTAAAGAATATTACTGCAGAATATAACACTTACCGTCCACCATCATTAGGACCATTAACGAACGGTTCGCTGTTGCTTTGTTTTCGGAAACTCATACGAGGCGCAGGTCTTCCAGTAGCTTTGCACTCTAATCTTCCATCAGTTTTTTCTGCTGCAGTCGTATTGTATAACTCAAATATTTTAGGAGGTACTAAAACTTCAACTTCGATTTCGGTTTCATTTTGTCCAGCTTGGTTAACAGCACTACAAATATATTTCCCATAGTCGCCCGCTTCTACTCTGTCAATTGTTAACAAACCAGTATTTTCATTTACGCTGTATCTTGAAGTCGTCGCTAAATTCTGAAATGAAGTTATTTATTTTAAACATATTTATTTATTTACAACAGGAAAACTTACAGCTTTTAATTCATACTATATGGTATATAAGGTAATTCACAAAGTAAGCCTATTAGAAGTTTTAACAGATGAGTAATCGGTTTGGGTAATATAAAGCATTAAAACGAATACTTCGTTAAAAATATCAAAAGTACCTCTCGTGTGTTAGCTTTTATCCAAGTGTAAGTCGGAGGTGGCTTTCCTCTTGCTTTACACGTAATAGCCGCTGACTCCCCTTCTTTTATTTCAACTCTTGGTTCACGTTCTTCCATTTCAGGTGCAGTGTAAACCTATAAGAAACACTTTTTTACGTGGTAGAGACGTTATTGTAGTTCAAAAGCTACGCTGCAGCCTTATTATAATTATAGGTCGGCTCGACAGGAGTAGAATCACGCTCCAAAAGTATAGCAGCGTTTTTACACTGCTATTCTTTTGGAGCAGATAGCAGATTTATTCTGCTGTTTCTAATGATGGTTGTAGAGAACTGGCATAACTAAAAGTGAGGCATTTCATCTTAGTCCTTGATATTAAGAACGCATCTGATATTTGATTCCTAATCGAGGATAAATGTAGAAGTCTATGCGTCACAGTATCCACTTACAATTAGGCGGACTGTATGCTCGCTTGTCATCCTTATTATTTAAGAGATGGTATTAATAAGTCTTAAATTAAAAATAATAACAATAATTTTAGGCGTTTTACCTCTAATTTGATATTTCTTTCAGCAAGCTCTCCGGTCTGTATAACAACAGCGCGACAAGTATAAGTTCCATCGTCACTTTCTTGTACATTTTTGATGAGCAATCCATTGGCGTGAATAACATACCTATCTGAAGTTACAATCTGTAACAATAAAAATAAACGATTTAAGACTAAATCTAACAAACATTAAGATCTAACGTGGGTATAAAAATACTCACGGTTGTGCCTTCTTTAAACCAGTCCACCGAAGGTGCGGGCTCTGCAGTTACTTCGCACATTATCTTGAAATCTCTTCCTTTGGTTGCAAATTGGTTTTCATTTGCATTTACCCAGGTGATTGCCACTGAAATAAGTATTATAATAAATAAATAAAGTCTCATCAACAACATATAAGATTCTTTAAATACAATAACCAATATGTCATATTATATCACAAAGTATGTCATTAACTGTAATTTAGATAATGAATATTTGTTAAGTCTTCATACAATGTACTGCTAGTTAGGCTAATGAGCTGTTAAATTTACAAACTGGCATTTCAAGTGGGCTGTCAACAAAGCTTTGTACTCTAACAATGAATTTACTATCCATTTCCATACCGAAAGTGTCCAAAACAACGCTGGCGCTGAGCGGCATGTTGGTGTAGGTCGCGACACAAGTATAATTGCCTGCCATTGCGGGAGTGATAGACGAAATGTACAGTAGTTGCGACTGCTTCGTTGGCATTGCCTCCGTGTAGATTTCCGGTCTTGTTCCTGGTCTATTTGAAATCAATTATACAGTTTAATCCATTCAGTTCGTTTATAACCAAAGCATTAATTTGAGTTGTTTAAAATTAATTAACATGCTCCGTTCGAATATAAAATTTTAATAATATTTTACATCGACTGATAGTATTAACTATTTTTATAGTAAAATTTTATGTCCCGTTAAAATTATACAAATATCAATCTACAATATTCCATCTTTCATATTAATTGATATAAAACATGCAATATCATATTAATTAAAAAAATATTTTTATCCATTATTATACTATCATAAATATTATTTTAATAAATAATGAAACCTATGAGTACCTCGTAACTATATCAGATCGATTTAATTTTATTAAGAGAAGCAAGAAGAATTGTTATTAAGAGAGAATTAGTTTATAATGATAAAAATCTATATGGAAAAGCATAATTAAGTATTCATTCGTTTAACAAAATGCTTATTTGTATTAATTAATTTATTAAATATCACTTACGCGGCTTCATTAATGACATATCCTTTAGGATCTTTCCACTGTGGTTGTGTGACTAGTGCGGGGTCCGGCGTTTCCGCCTGGCAGGTTAGTACCACTGATTTGCCTACAGCGACCGTCTGCTGTTTTTGCATAGGGTATATCCTCAAAATTTGCGACGAACATCCTGGGGAATAATAAAATTATTATAATAGACTCTCCACGTTAAACTAACAACATATATTTACAATTAAAACTATGAATATATTTTTATCAAGAGATTGTGTCATATTTGTTTTTTTGTTTATAAATACTTGTATTCCTATTAATTACTATTACTAATATTCCCTTTAGCCACTCCTGGTAAGCTTAAAATGCTTGTGTTAGGAGTGGTACACGACAGTAGTCGAATAGCGGATTTAAACCCACGACCTTTTCAATTCGCGATCCACGCCCTGCCATTTGACTACTGTCGCTTTATTGAACTAAAAGAGGTTACAATACTTTGTAAGGTTAAAGTTACAGCCTGTATATTGGATTTATAAATGATGATGATGTACATACATCACACTGCTGAGCACAGGCCTCCTCTCATTTCTGAGAGGGTTTTAGGGCAAGGAAATGTCCGCCGCTAATGCAGGTTGGTGAACTTCCACATGTCTTCGAGATATTTTTTCTTATTTCTCAGACATTCAGGTTTTCTCACGTTTTTTTTTCCTTTACCGCCGAGCACGTAGTAAACCAGCATTTAAAATTGCAATTAACAATTTCATTGGTGCCTGCGGGAATTGAACCGTGAACTACCATGGCAAAACTTTATATCAAAAGGTTATATGCTACAAAAACAATGAACATGCACAGAACTGTTATTGTTACAGTGGCTTCAACGCGTAATCTTATGTCCTTACTTTGTTCATACATATTAGAACCATGCTGTAGCTATATTATGGTTATAGCACGAATGGGTCGGCATGACCGTGCTGAACCTAGCTCTCACAGAATACTTGCGTGAAATAGCAGCTTTATGCTTCAGCGTTTTACATGGTGAGCGTAGAGAACCGGAAACCCTTTTTACTAAACGAGGCATTTCATCTTAGTCGTCTGTTATTATTTTGGTTCTTAATCGAGCATAAATTTCTAACTTTATTTTATTAAAAAGTGTAAAATACTACAAATTTTTAAAACGAAATATTTTTATTATTTATCACAATTAAGCTAATGTATGGTTTCTAATTAACTGTAATATTAAATTAAATAGAATTATAAACAAAGTGAAACGAAAGAGTTAGAGAACGTAAACTTCAAAACATTAGACTACGTATCTCTTTAATTAAGTTTACCACAATTTATTCCGGGGCACGTTACTAGACAATGTGGTTTTGCTAATCATTTTACTGCAGAATACGAACAAAAAGGAGATTATTATTTTTATTAATTTATTTTTGAATTTCATTTGGTCTAATTACTTATAAATCTCGTAAATGCAATATTATAAGGCAATATTAGCGACTCGCCCCGGTTTTGCCTGGATGGAATCTATCAATATTAGGCCGGACAAATAGACAGATAGGCAGACTGATAGAACTTTTAAAAATGGTTGTAATAATATTACATATTTAAATATTTAAAATTAAAGTGTGATATATTGAGCCGTGGTAACTCAGATGGTTAGCGCTCGCTGTAAATTTCACAGTTCGCGGGAAACACGAGTTCGATCCCCGCAGACATCAATGAAATTGTTAAATGCAATTTTAAGTGTTGATTTACCACGTGCACGGCGGTGAAGGAACGTGAGGAAACCTGCATGTCTGAGGAATAAGAGAAAAATATTTCGAAGGCATGCGAAGTTCACCAACACGCATTTGGCCAGAGCGGCGGACACTGCCTTGCCCCAAAACCCGCTCAGTAATGTGAGACCTATGCTCAGTAGTGGGACGTATATAGGCTGTAACTTATTTTATGTTACTATATATAATGTTTAACTTATTTGTATATTATATTGTGTAATTTATTTATTATTAATAATGTATAACTTATTTAATATATAGTTAATGTTTACGCTAAAATGATCAATGTCTTCTAACGGGGTATTTATGACTGTACATAAGCATTCCTGTAGTGTCTGCAAGGTAACAACTCGAGCGCTCTCAACTCTCGAGTCTATTCACGGGCGCATATCTCTTTTTACAGGGATTTTGAAGCCTCAGACCAAGGCTTGAATAAGGATCACTCTTTTGAATCTTGTTATAATAAAAATTCTTGTTATGGAGCTTTGCCTTTAATTTCAGAAACTTATTTAGTTTTTCATAAATTTGGGACATGCTTAAATTCTTGACCATATTTAAATGTGTTCCTAAATTTATAATAAAATTTCTAAAATATATTATATTTTACGGAAAAAGGGTTAATGAGTTATTTATCTGACATTCTAAATAAGGAATATCTAATATCGGAATTGTTTGCTAGCCTTTAGATATAATAAAGTATTTGAATAAAACTTGCTTTTTAAATAGGTTGCTAATAACGAATTAATTTGGAAATTAAATAACCTCGTATTTTTTATCCTTTAAAATATTCTCATTGACATTTTGTTGTACTTTGGTTTGTAATTCAAAACTGCTTGGGCATGTATTTCTCATACTGCCATGATCGAAACGATCGCGAATTTTTTACCACATTTTTAGAATGCAGTCCACGTCGTCGGACCCTTCTTTATCCTCCCGATACTCCGACATCTGCGTCGGCTGCATTTTATAAGCAACAATGTAGCCTACAATATTTTGTTTTGCTCAGCCTTATAAGAGATTTTTTCTAAATAATGCAACATTTATATAGAAAGTTATGAAAATGTATGCATAATGTAATTAATTATTTACTACCATTCTTGTATCAGTAAATCTTTGTAATATATCATAATCTTTATAATTTAAAAACGTAGAATAATAAAAATGCGGAAAATTTATATGACTACAATACTGAATTACATTTTTTACCGAAAGTCAAAAATAGGGCTTTTTGGGTATGATACAGCCTAGGTCCTTTCTGGCTACTATCTATCTGTGAGTGAAGTTTCATCACAATGGGTTCAGCCATTCCGAAAATTAGCCTTGACAGACAGACAGACAGACAAACAAACATTTTACAAATGATTAGTCATGTCTCAATGATCTGAAAATAACCCCCTGACTTCGAAAAAAGCAGCAGTTAGTTATTCGATATTGCAGACAGTCACTTTAATTTCATTTATATGTATAGATGTTATAATCAAATCTTCATGGGTAATAATAATGGTAATAGGTTAATTTTTGTTAGAATTTTCAAATTTTCTTATAAATTAACTCAATTTTCTTTTTATGTATATTCTTGTAGATGGTATATCATTTTTATATGTGGTAGAGCCACGCTGCTGATATATTACGGTTGTAGCACGAATGAGTCAGCTCGACCGGGGACGCTCTCACAGATTACCAGCATAAAATAGCAGCTTAATACTGCTGTGTTTCGTATGGTGAGTGTAGAGATCCGGAGACCCTTTTTTACTGTAAGTGAGGTATTCCATCCTCCTTTCATCCTCCACTCTGGGATTCCATCGTAATACTCTTAATACTCTCGATTAAGAATCAAAACACATCCGCGTTTTGATTCCTAATCGAGGATAAATGTAGATGTCTATGGGCCACAGTACCCACTTACCATCAGGTGGACTGAGTGTTTGTTTGTCATCCTTATTTCACAAAAAAAGTCATCAAATTTTCATGAATAATAATAATAATTTCTTTAACCTTAAAGCTAGATCGTCGTTTAGAATTATTGTTCATCCCTTTTTTTTAAAAGTTTTATTTGGTAATAGTTGGAATGTTGCTTTCAAAAACACGAGAGACTAAACTTGGGAATGTCTTTGGAACCACCGAAATTACATTGACGTGAACAAAGGGGAGAGGAGCTTGGGGATGTATTTACTATTGAGGGGCCAAGTGAAATAAGCGAGTGGTAGATTAAAGGGTTTGTGAAAATTTGTACGCTTTATAACGACTCCGCATCCCTATGCGGTTTTGAATTACCAATTACGTTCATTTACTCTCTAACAAGGTCTTTCTGAGGATTTGCGGATGTTTATCACGTAAAAGCAAATACATATAAGTAACAAAGTATATATAATGCATTAACGGTCATTATATATATATATATATATATATATATATATATATATATATATATATATATATATATGTCAGTTATCGTTTCTAGTTAACAATGCATCCCATCTCTGATCTTATGCAAATGCGTCTCATCGTTTATTACATTCATAGTAGTTTAGAGCCAGTAGGTGCTTCTTTGTTAACTGTGGTATCAAAATATATCGTGCGCAGTTATGTATTCGTAGTTTTATAGAATAGTTGTGTAATACTATAACAAAAGATTTAAGTGTTTTTGATATTGAATCATTCAATAAATTGTAAAAACCGGCTTCAAAAACCTGTCAAGAATTAAATCATTTTCATTCTGAAGCCGGTGTTAATGTTAAGACAAATATAATATAGAAGAATTGAAGCTCCGACTTCAGAATGTTTTAACTATTTATTAAAAGTTATTTACACTTCTTTAAGTGAACTGAAGACTATCATAAACTCAATGCATTCTCAATAGTTCCATTAAAAACTTAATTCTTCTTGTTCTCTGGTTCCCCTCACCATACGAAACACATCTGCATTACGCTGGTATTGCAATAAGTGTGTTCCTTTCTCGGTCGAGCCGACCTCATGCTGCACTCGTATTCGCTGCAGTGTGGCTTCATCACGTATAAATAATAATAACTCCTAATGTGATAAGCATTTCGTGATAAATTACTGTGGTGAAGACGTAAGGGATTCTATTTCCCCAGTTCTATATCACCATAAGGAATAAAGTCTCATGGCATCATTTCGGAAAAATCTTCTCATACAATTGATATATTTAAAAATTCTATATTACAGAGAAACTCTTCAATTTCATATTTATATAAATCCAAAAATACATGTAAGTCACTTAATCATGGATATCTTAAGTACACATAAAAATTTACACTATATTGCGCTATTATTAGTAAGCAGTAGCGAGTTCAGGCAACAGCAATACCCGCGATCAACTTCTACAGCAATTTAATTAGTTATGGAAATCTAACCGATCGTTTCCTGTCCGGCCAGCGCC